AAGGCCTCCTAGCTACGGATTCGCCAACCAGCCCTGAATTAAAGGAGTCACTAGGTGTGGAAAAGGAACTCGTCAGCACAGCAGCGGATCAGGCTGGTTTACATACATGTAGCAATATTACCCTTGATGAGGAAGCTACAGGGCATGTGAAATTGAAGCAGCTCCACATTGCAGAACAGGTGCTACAGAAGAAGGCCCGAGTTGCTATAATTAAAAAGCCATCAAAGAAGCTGAACAGCGCCTTGCTACTCTCGCTGAGAGTTTGCAACCGAGCCCCCCCACAGCCACTCATGAGAGTCCGCCGTTTGTGCAATCAACCGGTTTGGGACTTGCTAACACAAGCAAACAAGGGCCCCCACAGCTGCCACTGGACGCACTCCTCTTTGGTGCCCAAACAAGCGTGAGTAACATGGTAGCCATGACATCTGGCCAAGCAAATAAAAACAGCACTAGTGGCTCTTCTCGAAGTCTCCAACATTCACCAGGTGGCCCAGTCCATTTGCCACAAGCCCAGCAAGAGCCATTGGTGTTCCTGAAGCCAGCACATTTACATGTATCAAAGGGTGAGCATGTTTTAGTTTCTTATGGGCCTAAAAAGTCCAAGTTGGAAAATACAACCATGGCACAATGGGTAGACAGCAACACCTGCATATTTTTTACCTTATTAAAATTAGGTAAGCTGCCATCCCCCAGGATGTGTAGCATTACTTAGCATAATTATACCATCAAAATTATGGAGCTGAGTTTTACGTTCAGCAACATAGGTATACATGTATGGGTTTGATGACAAATTTTGCCAACTTCAGGCTATTTATAGTTCTGTTTCGATGTCAGTCTGACATCACTAACAAGTCACATGAAAAGCATGCACTTGTCTATCTAGCCATTGCATTCCTTGTTATCTATAGTGTAGCCATTAACATGCCCTTTGATCACTCCTTCATTCTCAGACTCGATTGCTTTCCAGTGAAGTATCACAGTGCAGAATAGTACTCTGGTGTAAGTATTACTCACAACAAATGTTGCTTTTCTTATTGTTACAATATCATTATCAAGAATACGTTATCAAGGATTGACCAAAACAGACTTGCTAACAAAGCAATGTGCTACAGCTGTATGTTACCACAATCAGCAGCCCCTCAAAATGATCAGGCATTGTTCAATGTGAAGGCTACCAGCCAGAAAAGGGCCCAGAGCCTATCCAAAAGCAACAATGCAGGCAACAAACTCAGTGTCCATGCAACTTCTGGTAATGAGCTTAATCTGCTCATGGAACAAATCAACAAACCCACCACCTTGTCCACTGGGAATTTTGGGGGCAAATTTCACTAGAAAACGGTCAGTAAAAAACAGCTGATATCATGGGAGTTTTCCGGACTAATTTGGGTGGAAAGTAATTGGTTTTGCACTGATTTCACGAATGTCTTTAACAAAAAACAACAAAAAACAGACAGCAATTTTGTCATTTTGTTGGGAAAATGATAAGAGTTAGCCTATGCAATAACAAGAGCAACAGAAACACCGACTACTTAATGGTAAATGTTGCCTTTCAAAAACCGGTGATTTTGAGGAAAATTTGAGCATCTCGTTTGGACAATCATACATATTTGATATACATGTATGTTTGACCACAAAGTTCTTTTAACAGAGATCATCATTTGCTCTTCCATTAACAATATGCTCAAGAAATGCACCAGTGGGAAAGCTTTTTACATCACGGCCACTGCCCAGTTTTTCGTAACATTAATCATAAGAATGCCTGCTTGTTTACTCACTGCAATGACAAAGTTTCAAGATAAATTTGCAAATTTACGGCAAGTAAACAGCCCTAACAGCCAAAATAAGTTTCAAATATGTTGTACTGACATGTATTTGGTAAGATTTCTAGCAAATTTCGTGGTATTTTGTGATTCTCTGAATAATTTTCACAGATTTACTTGAAATTTGAGGCTCCATGACTGCCCAAAATTTCAGAACTCCTGTTGTCAGCAGTCCTCACCTTATGCAACAATTTCCTAATGCCCTCAGGCAACGATAGAAAAATTCTTAAAGATGCCATCAATATACTCACATTTCTTGGCCATGCATTTCACAACTTATATGTCTTCCATCGTGAACAAATCAAACTTACATGCTAGGGGCAATTCCTAAGCCAGACTTTCCTGAGGTATGCCTTGTCCATGACTGCTCACACCCCCATGGCCATGGCCTCAATGGCTACATGACTCCTTGCTCCTTCACCTTCCAAATCCTTGATGATGTCATAAAATTGCTACAGTCCAACTATTTCATGGCCAAAGTCAACCTTTGCTACGCTTATAGCTCAGTCTTGATCCATCCTAGTAACTTTACAGCTACAGGTCTCAAATGGCAGTTCCCTAGTGACACAGGGTTTGCCTACTTTTATGACACTCGCTTACCTTTTGGTCTCAAATCTTTGCCTGAAATAAGCCTAATTATCAAGAAATTTGTGTTTAGAGGTATATGCTTGTCAAACAGGATCAAAATGTCGAAGAGTGATATTTATGTACCGAGTTGCCATATTTATGTCC